ATATCAATCATTGGTACACACTAGAAGGACAAGATGTGAGGTTTGGATAGTGTTTCACTGTTTAGTGAAGCAACAGCAATATTAAGCAAAACAGAGCCCTATAATTTTCAGGTAAAGGACTAAACTTCTAAATTTTCACTGTTGTATATACCTCTACCACCACAGGAAAGTATTTCATTACTGAATCTTAAAACAAATGACAAACTAGTTCTGCCAAAATATAATCTAACACTGTAACACACCTGACTTCACAGATCAATATAATTCCCTTTTTACAAGGCAGTTTTAAATGCAGTCCAGCACAGTGGTAGAGATGATTGTATAACATAATACCACCTAATAAGCAACACCTGGTAAAAAAACATTACCCTTCTTTATCTTCCTCAACACATTCCCACAAATCATCCTGTGCTTCGATCTTCAATAACACATATAATGTAAAGAAATTAAAATACTAACAAATACTACATTTGAGCCATGAAACAATGGATAGAAGTATACATATAGGAAGAGCAAACAATGCCAAGAATCGCTCTTGTATTTAAAAGAAAAAAAAATGTCAGACTACGTGTTGAATACTGAGTCATTTTATTGCCATTATGCAATTCTCAGCCAGTAAAAATATTAACTTAAATGGAACCATTTCAAAGCATCAGAAAGTCACAACTATATTAGTAATCACTTACAACCAGTTTTTCCCCCCTCTACACTCCCACTCTTTTAGTTTCAAAAATGTTCCTGAATGAAGACAGCAGAAAACTGACATCCCAATCACCTTTTTTTCTAACCTATCTTGGAAAATTGGGACATCACAAATTTACTGGTACCTTGAAGAGAGTGAAAATAGGCATAATTTGACATAATCAAGATACACACAAGTAAGGCAGTAAGATCACATTTGAATACTTCAAACTCTGCCTACACCAAAAGGCATCCTAGGCCAATTCTGGCAACAGACCTTGAGGGCAGGGGATGCATTTAACGTTGAGCTATTTTTGCCTTTAAATTCCACCTTCTCGATTTGCAGCAACACATATCCCGTGGCTTTCAGTGTTACCAATAGCAGTGTAATGATTACAAAATAACCTACAGCAATATTTCTGTATTCTTTAAAAGGTTGTCGAAATCTGCTTTTCAGAATAAGCTGCAATACTTGAGTGAAGTGCTCTCTACCTCCCATGAAAAGTCATTTGAACATACACCAGCTGATAGCTGATTTTATACACTGACAATCCCAGACTATGATGCAGATCAACAATCAGAAATGAAATATTCTCAGTCACACTGATCTCTCCTAGTAACTCAAACCACCAAAAAGAAAATTTACTGCACACAGACACATTCTAAATTTTATTTTAGTCTGCTAAAGGAAAAGAGTAGCTCATTATTTTGAGATGTTTACAAAAGGTAACACAACTGGACTTCACACACTTGTAAGCAAGAACTTCAGTAAAGGATATCAATTTAGAATATTCAGGCATTTTTAGAATCTTGCATTGCTAGTCAGACACCTCTGAATCACATGAAATTCAAATTCTGAACACTGTCTACTAATCTTCCAAAGCTCATCAAATCAACTAGTGTTGATTTTCAATTAGGTGTTGCAGAAGCATGTCTTATGACTGATTTAAACATTTGGAGAAGGCTTTCAATTTTTTTTTAAAAAAAACTACCATAATCCAGGATCAACTTAAATCCACGTTACTTAAAATTGCAAAACTGGCTTCTTTGGCCTTAAGGAAGAAGGAGTTACCATAAAAGCGCTACAAATTTTTCAACTTAAAACTTCAAATGTTGCTATTAAACTACATTACTCCTTACAAAAAGAAAATTAAAAAAACATATTTATTCACAGGGCACCAATTCCAGATTCCTATAATCTTCACTGAACTAGAACTACCAACAATGATTACATGTATGAGTCACATGAAGAAGACACCAGTAAGAAGATGTTCCACCTTCCAAATGGGTTGCTTTTAGGTGTCTTGTGTTTCAATTCTACCTATCCAGTCCTAAACAAAACTCCAACAACTTTAGATTTGGGAAGTCAAACAAAACACATTAGAATACAAAAGAAGGCCAACCTGGAGGAGCAATGTGGCTGAAGAACCTGGGTACAAGACCAGAATTTTGCCATGAGGCAAATTCTCAGTGCTCCATACTGAATGTCTGAAAGTGGTATTACATAGTTTATCTACTGCCTCTTCATTTCATCACTTTTAAGCACAATTTTTCCCTTTGTCACATTTGCACAACACTATGAAAAGTACTTAATTGTTTTGTAGGCTTTCTTAAGATATTCCTGATAGTTTCAGAATCCAAAGAAATCCACCTACCAAAGAGGGTCAGAGGGAATCAATCATGACCCAAACACTATTAATGACTGAAATTTCTAGAACTACAAGGACTACAAAAACAGGATTGCAGTCTTGGATACCAAGGGAACTACGTAACATGCTAGCTACCACAGGACACATTCTTAGAACTCCCCTTGAATCGTGCTGAATAAAATTCAAGGATAAATGTATTACAGACCTTATTTTTGCTGACAGAGTAAATTAGATTTTATTAATAAAAAAAGCAGTTTCATCAGGCAATGATTAATTTAAAGGCTTGTTGTTAACAACCCCTTATGTTGAGTACTACATATCTTTTAATGAAATAGCTGTTTGTAAAGGGGCACACTATCACATTTCACTGTTACCCTAAAGGTCAGCAAACCCATTATAACTTCCTGAGGCAAGAAAACTAATAAAATTTTTTGCTCAATTCAAATGTTTAGACTTAAACTGGATCTCTGTTCATATGCATCAACAATAATAATAAAAATGGATGACTGTACCAATAAAATAACTTTGAATAATCTACTGCACTGAAAAAATGTAGTTTTATTATTTTAACAAAATGTTATGCTCTTCCTACACCATGCTACATTTGTTCTGAGTCATATATTCTCTTTCTTACTAACCAATTACTTTTTAAAAGGTGACACTCAGAATTCACTACTGCCAATACTGTATTCTTCAACACAGTACTTTAGAACTGGGTTAGTTTGTGGCCCACAAACCTTTTTAAACACCTCTAAATAATAAGCAGTTAGAAAATATTTCTTGAGAGTGCACTCAATGCTCTCTGAATTGATAGCACTTTCTATAGTATATTACTGCAATAGTACAGTAACAGAGAGTGCTGCAGTCTCATTATGCTTCATATTTTGTTTTTGCTAAGTCTGCTCTACAGGAATTTTCCTAATATATGCATTAGTCTGAAACAGAAGTTTATGCCTAAAGAATACACATTTCATGCTCTAAGTGCATAGACACATAGCACAATAAAGATCACTGACTGACAACAGCTTCACACAGACAGAATTTCTAATCTAGTATTTATTCTATCAACACACTGTTTCATATCACATCAATACAGCTTAGTTCCAGCTCAAAGACATCCCACATTTGCAGGCTTTGAATTAGACACAGCATTTTTTTTAATTTAAAAAAAAAATTAAAATAATGCATTTTTTCCCAACCTGTTCTGAACAAAGCATACTAAAATATGAGTGCAGCCAGACCAGCAGCACTTTAACAACACAAAACCCAAGTGAAAATTACAAGTTCCTACAATGGTTTTGAGTCTGTGTATAAAAGTGCAATTTAAAAAAATTTAAAATTGAAGCTATCGAGAAATTAATATGCATAATCAGACAAATGCTGGGGTTTAATTGATTTGACAGATCAATAAAACAAGTATAGTTTGCTAATGCTAGGCCAGACCAAAGGTATTTTGGGGGAATACAGTGTTCTCTTCTATTACAAACATTCATTTGTTCTAGTTGTCCGTGGAAGATTTTTACAGCATCATAAATTCCATTCTGTTCTCTAAAACAATGAAAAATGAGCATACTAAAAGTGGAAAACAGAAGAATGTACAGGATTAGGCACATACATGTGGTGACACCAGCCACACCACTTAAAAATATAAGTTCACATAATATTAACTACTCTTAAAAAAAAAAAATCTAATACAGAACCTTTCAAATCTGAAAGGTTCTGAGATTTTTCTCAATGCCCCTTGCAGGTATATCATCACAAAAACTACATGTTCTGACACACTTTTTTTTATGCCCTTGCCTTTAAACGATCACTCATTTCTGAGAGAGTCTTTCCTTTCACAACTATCTAATTCACGAGGAGAGAAAACCACAGACACACACACACGATACCAGCACTAGCTGGGACCTATTTTGACAGCAGCACGTCAGCAGTCACAGCCATGCGGTCGGCACGCAACACACAGCACACATAAAACTTCCGAAAGGCACGCATTCCATTTCCCTCATTCCCAGGAAAGAGGCGAGCTCCCTGTTGACGTTCCGAGAGCCTGCCTGAGACGTGACAGCTCTGGGGAAAGGTTGGGGAGCCCTGTGCCGGGCTGGGATGCACCGGGGCGAGGGCGCGGGTGCCGGGCACTGATGGTGCAGAGCCGCACCGGCTCCGCGCGGACACCGGGCCCCAGCACGCCTGAGAGGAGAAGTGGGACAAGGCCAGGCGTTAGGGCAGCCTCGTGAAGCCTGGAACCCCGCAAGGCTTCCACCGCCCGCTCCAGGGCCTCTCCTGCCCGCTGCTGCCAGAGGGAGCCCGCACCGCCAGCGACCGGAGAGCGACACCCGCGTCCCCGGGCGCCGCTGCTCCGGGGCCGGGCCTAGGAGCGCAGCGGTGACTCGGCGGGGCGGGCGGGGGCAGGGGCAGGGAGGGGGCGGCCGATCCCACCCGGCACCGCGGATCCCCGCGGGATCCCAAGATGGCGGCGGCCGATCCCGCTCGCCGGCTCGGCGGCGCCCCCCATCCCCCGGCGGGCGGGCAGCGCCCGGCACCGCGGCCCGCCCGCGGGAGGCAGCGGGGAACGCGGCGCCCGGAGGCGGCCCGGCGCCCATGCGGAACGGGACACCCCGCCACTGCCGCCCCTCTCCGCTCCGCCGCGCCGCGTTCCCCCCTCCTCACCTTTGAATTTGAGGTCGGTGGGCGGATCGAGCACCAGGATCTGCTCGTGCTTCGCCAGAGCCCCAGCGGCCGCCATCTCGCTCGCTCTCTCCGGCGGGAGGAGGGGCAGGGGGGAGGGCGGAGGAGGCGGAGGAGAAGGCGGAGGAGAAGGAGGAGGGGCGGAGGGGGCCGGCGGTGCCGCCGCTCGCTCACGGCGGGCGGGCGGTGTCTCGGCACGGCTCTGCGGGCGCTACCGGCGGGGCGCGGGCCGAGGGCGGGCACTGCCGCTGCTGCTGCGCGCCCCCGAGCGCGGCCCCGCGCCCTCCCCGCCCCGGCAGCACCGCCCCCTGCGCGGGCACGGCGGCGGCGCGCTTTCCCCCGGGCCTCCCTTGTGCGCATGCGCCAGGGCGCCGCGGGGTCGTCCTAGACCTACAGAGATACCGGGACACAGAGGGACGTGGAAGCAGACGGACGTACACTCCCACACACACCCTTCCTTCCCGCTCTGACGGCTAGAGCGAGTCAGAATCCCCGAATCAGTTGGGTTGGAAAAGAGCTCCGAGGTCATCGGGTGCAACCTGTGAGGTAGAACACGGCACTCAGTGCCACGTCCCGTCTTTCTCTAAACACCTCCAGGGACCGTGACTCCACCACCTCCCTAGGCATCACATTCCGATACCTAATCATTCCTTCTGTGAAGAAATTAGTCCTAATGTCCAACCTGAACCTCTCCTGGTGGAAGTTGAGGTTTTGTAGTCTCATCCTATTGCTAATTGCCTGGGAGAAGAGACTGACCGCCACCTGGCCAAAACCTTGGACCTCCCCGAGCCGCCTCTTCTCCAGGCTAAACACACTCTGCTCCCACAGCTGCTCCTCACAGGATATGTGCTCCAGACCCTTCACCAGCGTCATTGCCTTTATCTGGACATGTTCCAGTACCTGAATGTCTTTCCTGAATTGAGGTGCCCAGAGTTGGACACTGTTCTCAAGTGCAGTCTCACCAGTGCTATTTATAGGGGAGAAATCACTGCCCTGGTCCTGCTGGCCACATGATTCCTGATAAAGGCCAGGATGCCATTGGCCTTCTTGGCCACCTAGACACACGCTGGCTCATGTTCAGCGGCTGTTGGCCAGCATCCCCAGACCCCTTTCTGCTGAGCAGCTTTCCAGCCACTCTTCCCCCAGCCTGTAGTGCTGCAGGGGTTGGTGTGACACAAGTGCAGGACCCGGCACCTGCTCTCGTTGAACTACACCATTGGTCTCGGCTCATCAATCCAGTCTTGTCTTTCCCCGCGCCGCGACTTAGCCCGGTCCGGTCCCCACAGGCAGCGCTGGCTGGGGCGAAGCGGGGAGAAGCAGCACCCTCGCTCCTCGCCTTCCCAAGCGCACACACATAGTTCGGGTTGGAGCGGGAAGGGTGCCGCTGGCTCGGCGCTTTGGGCAGCGGCGTCGGGAGAACTACAGCACCCGGCATGCCCCGCGGCAGTAGCGGAGCCTGCCGGGAGTTGTAGTCTTGGGGGAACAGCAGCGGGCGCCCTTCCCTAGGGCCTCAGGGGCAGCGGCTTGACCGGCCTTTCCCTTTAAACTGGAGAAGGGAGAGCGAGCCTGGGTGGTGGGTTCCGGCGGCTCTGACATGGGTCAGTGCTGTTCATGGATGAGGCAGTTCCCAGTTGCTGCCAGGTACCCTCGTTGCAATGGCTGTGGTCTGGTCCAAAGGGACCTGGGCACTGACGTGAATGGGCCTGACCTTCTGGCCTTGAAAACAGCCAAAACCATTAAAGTAGGAAAATTGTTGTTACATTACATCTTAGGAATATTAACAGGGAATAAATGGACCTGTTTAGTCTAGAGAGGAGAAGACTGAGGGGAATCTCATTAATACATGTAAGTATCTCAAAGGCAGGTGTCAAGAGGATGGTGCCCATTTTTTCTATGGTGCCCAGAGACAGGACAAGGAGCAGTGGCCATAAACTGAAACAGAAGAACTTCCATCTCAACATGAAGAAGAACTTTACTATGTCAAGAGTCACTGAGCACTGGAAGAGGTGGGGTTATGGAGTCTCCCTCTCTGGAGACATTCAAAACGCACCTGGATGCATTCCGGTGTCAACTCCTTTAGGTGACCCTGCTTCAGGAGGGGGTCTGGACCAGATGATCTCCAGACATCTCTTCCAACTCTGCTAACAATTCTGCAATTCTGTGAAAAGTTGAGAGAGATTGAGCTCCTGCAAAACCTGAATGAAAAACAAGAGTCATTAATTATTAGTAGGCAGAAACATGAGTTGTTTGCCATCCTCCTTGCTAACATTTTTTGTCAGATACAGTGTTGTCACTGTGGGCCTTTTCATTAGTACCATACTTTCAAGCAGATGGTGCATCCTGGGCTATTTGAATGTACCAGTATCAAACAAACAAACAAGAAAAAACAGTTAGACAGTCAAATCCATCCAAACCTTGATGATTTCTGTATCCTAAATCTGCTTCTGAAGAATTTTCATGTAAGAGATAAGTTTATATTCATGCAAAGTTGGAGTACAGGTGATGAAAATTTAGTCAGAAGGACTAACACATTTTTTCTCTCTTGCAAAATCTGGTGTAGGTATGCTAAGAGCATATATAGGGACATAATAACCCATTTGAAAAATATGTCCTGATAATAAATGCATTGAGAGGACTTGAATGGTTTGCATTCAAAATCAGATCTTCATAGTAATACTTGCAGATCACATAATTTCTTTGGTGAATACCTCTGGTTCAGCTGAGCCATGAAGGAAGGACTGTGGACTGGTAAGGCTGGGGAGTAATTTAGGTTCAGATTCTGCCCTGGAGTCTCCACCCTCCATTTCAGCTGCCTCCCCTCCTCCAGCCCTGCCACCATCGTTCCTGCTTACTTTTTTCCACACCACTCTTGCCAACACCAAAACCCACATGACTTCTAATACCATCACTGCCTGAAGAAGAAACAAGTAAAAAGTGCTCTAGAAAAGCACCTCAGAGCAGGTTTGCCTGATAGGAATTGGCTTCAATAGGTGGAGTTACCTGACCTATGTGTGAAAATGTCACTAGAGCTCTGCAACTACTCTGACTGCAGGTTTTTTCCAGACTTACTTTACGATGCACATAAAACAGCATCTTAAATTACATCTTTTATTTACAATGCAATATTTAAAGTTGCTATCTGGTGGTCTGTTGGGCTTTGTAAACAAAACAAATGTTCCACTCTGTTTATGCTTTCTTACCCTTGGGATCTGGAAGATAAACTGGAAAATAGAGGTTTTTCTTCTTCTATTTTAACACAGAAGAAGGATGTTAACTCTGTTATCTCTTTCTCTGTTTCTGTTCATGAATCAAGCAAAGATTAAGCCATAGTGCACACTTTTCAGAAACAGTAATTCAGCCTCCAGAATTACCTACTGGTTATGTACCAGAAGAACTGGGTCTCAGCTGGCAAAAAATCAAGACATGGGAAATGGCTGAAAAATGCTGAATGCCACAAAAGTTTCTGTCTTTTGTCCTTTTAATGAGGTAAAAATATAACAGAAAAGAGTATAAATGCAAAGGAAGCTTCGAAGCTTCTGCTATGCAGATTTAGAAGACAGAAGTATCTCTGTTGTCTAATTCTTCTACACACCTCTTGTTTAAGAAAAACTGAGGAAAACAAGAAGATAGGATCTCTCCTTAATATGATAACAGGACTTAGAGGTTTTCCCATGCAAACACCTTGTTAGACATGGCTGTGCAGTAGATGGAACTGACATCAGGGGGTGTGCATGGTTTGGGGGAAGACTGGGTTGGTCTCACAGCATAGTGAGAGGCAGTGAATGAAGAACAGGGCACAGCCCCAAGCTCTGGGGGCATGTCACATCATCAGCAAGGCTGCAAAGGACCCAACTAAGGCCACAGTTTAATTTCCAACTCAAAGCTGCTTTTTACTGTGGTCTTTGGTTTTTGTTTGAACACATTTTGAAGCTTACCTAATGCATTGATCTGTTTTATTGCATTTAGTGTCATTTCTGATCTAATGTTTCTATTTCATCCAGACTGATGTAATTTTTTATATTAAAACTACATCTGTGCTGTTGATCAGCAATATCGGGCAACCTTCCCCAACATCTGATTAATTTCATTTCATCACCTCACAGCACAGCTCTGGAATGAAACCTTGGATGTATTGCAGTCAATAGAACTCCTGTCACTGATTTCAGTGAGATAATAATGTCATTCCAGAAGTGCTATTAGTGAATTCATCACTGCTTGCAAAAGGATAACATTTGCTTAATCTGAGGTCAACATTTGTCCTGTGTATTTGTAGATCTTGATGTTTTTCACTCTGCAAATTCAGTATTGTTGTTATAATATCTCAGTTTCGAGATAGTTTGACATCTTTCAAAACTGTTTGCTATTAAATATTAAATAAGCACTCTCTGTTCCTGAGAAGTAATAGAATGGATTCAGTTTCTTAATAGCTTTTTCCTGTTTTATTGTGCAGGTTGTTTGGTCAGTCCCACCAATTCTAAACTTGGAAATGCCTTGCAATAAAACGATATCACAACCTTCTTTGCCAGTTCTTGCTGTTACTGAGACTGTCAGAAAGAGTAACCAAGTGCTGCATTACTTGTTGTGTTAATGGGAAAACTCTGGGTCTCACTCAGTGAAGTATCTCATGCATCCTGCACTACTAAGTCAGTGAATATTGCAAAATACAAAGGTATAAAGCCAAGAATATGTTCCAATTTCTCTTTAGGGAAATACCTGGCCTTTTGTTGCTGCTGTTTTTCTTCTGAAATACAAAACTGTTCTTACAGCAGGCTCTAGTTATCATTTACTTGACTGCTAGAGGTCCATATATAATTTTAGGCCCACTTGTTATATTGTAAATCAGAGATTAAGTCACAGTCCAAACTATTATTGAAGATTTACGGCAATATTCAAATGTTTCTATTCCACAGAATGGAAAAGTAAATCTTGATTGAATATCTTCAACTTGGTTCAACTACAGTGTATTTCTTTACCACAGTAAATTACATATAAAACCACACAATACGTGTTGAATATTCATGAAGAAAGAAGCCAATAACACATAAAGGCATTCTCATAAATAGCTATAGCATGAAATTTAATGTGCTTTTCATATTTTGGACCCAATTCTGT